ACTAGTGCTCAATCACTACCACCAATTATCATCATCATCATCATCATCAAAATTAGTGACCAGCAGGAAACGACGTCGAGGACCAAAAGGTCTAGTGGATCTGCGGCCAACAGCACCGATAGCAACGACAACATCAACAGTAAAAAACAGGAGTCATTCCACCTTACACACTTTCAATCAACTTCAATCACCAGAAAAGAACACTATTAAAAAAATTAAATCATTGGATCTGGGATTTGTATTTGACTAAACAAAATTAAAATAAAAAGTTTTGACTTTGTGTTCAACTTTAAAGATGGCGCACCAGACGCGAAGTTTCCTGTTTCCAGTTCGACTGCAGATCCTCCACCTGACAGGCAAAGTNAAATTAAATCATTGGATCTGGGATTTGTATTTGACTAAACAAAATTAAAATAAAAAGTTTTGACTTTGTGTTCAACTTTAAAGATGGCGCACCAGACGCGAAGTTTCCTGTTTCCAGTTCGACTGCAGATCCTCCACCTGACAGGCAAAGTAGCCCTCGGTATGGTTGGCTCCACTGGCGCTGTAGGCAAAGTCAAAGGTGGGCAGGGCGTCACGAGGGCCTTCACCATCCACATACCGACCCATATAGCCAGTGTCATTGCTGCTGAACCGTGTGGGACCTCCGGAAGTGGGCACCTTGAAAGTGGCCAACTCGCCGTAGTGACCTGGAATTAGGGAGTGGTAGCTCGAAAAGAGCAGTTTCACCTGGTACTCGGGCCCCTTTAGAATGCTCTTCTCAAGATGGAAGATAGTGCAGCTGGCGGTGAAGTGCTGGTTGGTTTTGTCCCAGGCTAGCGGGGCGCTGATGGTCAGATTGACAATCGGTCGGTTGACCCAGACGTTGGAGATGGCTACCGTTTTGCCGGCGTCTTCTAGCTCGCACCAGAAGTTCCTGAGAAAGTCGCTTTCAAAAATTTCTGATTTAATGGTGCGGTTCACCACCAAATCAAAGGTCGGGTAGGTGTAGTGAGGGCCGGGCACTGAATACGAGGGTTTGAAGGTGTCAAAGAGCAACGACTGGGCGCCAGAAGGTTGAACTGTAGTAAATTTAAAAATAAGTTAGCTTTTAGAAATTATGCCGTGTCATGCTTAAATACAACTTTACCTTTAAGACTGTAGTAGGCGACCAAGTAGTTATATTCTAATTCGTTTGCAGTATAAAACCAAACGGTGTAGTTGTGGCTGGCATGATTGGCAAAGTTTGAAATGTTACAAGTGGCCAGGAAGGGTTTTCCACTTTCCATAGTGGTCGTGTTGGTCGTGAAGTTTAAAGTGACGTTCTTTGTTGCTAAAGGTTTTACTGTAGCAGTTGACTGAGAAAATTGCTCTAGAAAACTAGATTGACCACTGGCGGCCAGAAAAAACAAACAAGTGATCGTTAAAAACAGCATTTTAATAATTGTTGTTGATTAATTGGTTAATTATTTGATTGAAACAAGTTTAGAAAATGCTTTTAAATGATTTGATTTATAAATCAACTCATTTTAAAACATGATTGCACTTTTCACACATATCAAATAAATTAGCTCCACATCATTGTCTAAAAATGTGATTTTTTTAACCTTATTTGCACTTTATGTTAAAACCAATTTGGTTAATTATAATTATTGCTTTAAGGCCATACTCGATTTACTGAAAAGTTGGCTTCTCTGCGCCGTCCACAAAACAGCTGTTTACATGTGTTTCAATGGGGCTTGTTATGATTCTCTTGGTACATTTATCTCAAGAACTACACATCAGATTAAGGTAATGTAAAAAACAAAAATAAAGTTAAAGATTTAATCTAACTTTCGTTGGTTAAATATTCTGATAAAATGTGATTAAAATATACAAAACAGTTGTTGAAATGTTAGTTTTATCATTCTAATGATTTTAACCAATTTTAACTCAAATATTTAACCAACGAAAGTTAGATTAAGTTTTTAACTTTATTTTTGTTTTTTACATCATTTTAATCTGATGTGTAGTTCTTGAGATAAATGTACCAAGAGAATCATAACAAGCCTCATTCAAACACATGCTTTGTGGACGGCACAGGAAAGCCAACTTTTCAGTAAATCGAGTATGGCCTTAAGTTGATCAATTTTGTGTTGTCAGTATTGCCTGCACTTACCGTTGATAAAATTTTTTACGTCAAGATTTGCAATTTTTGATGTTTAAGTTTTAATTTAAGAGTATAATAAGTAACAACTATTGCGTTTTAAATTGCAAACAGCGTTAAAAAAGTACAATTATTTTAGAGTTTTCATTAGTTTTAAAGTCAAAGTAAGTACAACTGTTTTAATTTTTGATTAAATTATACTTGCTGATAAATTTGTCACAAAAAGTTTTTTAGTTAAAAGGTAATACTACGCAAAATAGCGCCGTTGTTGCAATGCAAAAAAAAGTTGTCCAAAAAAACGTAAGAATTTTTTNGTCACAAAAAGTTTTTTAGTTAAAAGGTAATACTACGCAAAATAGCGCCGTTGTTGCAATGCAAAAAAAAGTTGTCAAAAAAAACGTAAGAAATTTGGAAAAACTAAAAACAATTTTATGCAACAAAAATGTTAATGATTTTCCTTTTTATTTGTCCAATTTCGTTTCAAAAAAATTTTTATTTTTAGTTTTACTTTTGCAAATAAAAACGTCATAAAAAAGCCCAACAAACAGCAACTTTCTACTACTAGTGCTCTAGCTTTAGCTACTTTGATTGCCATTCTCCTCATTTCCGTTCTTGTACTGGCCAATGGTCTCCCAGATCCAGTCGCTGAAGAGGGCCACCCGAGAGTAGACGCCCGGCGTGGAGCCGCCACAGCCGCGGCCAAAGCTGGTCAGTCCAATCACCGTCCACTTTTGGTCAATCTTAAGGGCGATCGGGCCGCCGCTGTCGCCTAATGAAAAGGTAAAAATTTTGATTAACTCAAAAATAAAAAAATCATATTTTTTTAAAATTTACCCTGGCAGGTGTCCTTGCCCTTGGCAAAGGCGCACAGCATCGTTTTAGTGTCCTCCTCGGAGGTCTGAAAAACCTCGGCGCACTCTTTCACAGCCACCATGGGCAGAAAGACCTTCATGAGGACGTCATGCGGCGTGGCACTGCCGCTGAAGGTGACGCCCCAGCCTGAGGCGGTGGCAATGCTGTCGACGAACTCGTTTCCGGCGTTCTTAGCCTTCTCTGGAACGCAAATGCTTCCCAACTGCGGGGCGGTGCTCAGGTTGGCGATGGGCGTCGCCAGGCGGATCAGCGCAATGTCATTGGCAAGGTAGTCGTGCGAGGAGCTGAAGTTTGGGTGAGTGATGAACTTCTCGATGGACAACGACTGGCGGGCAGACTCGAGCGGCCCGGTGGAGGTGAGGTTGTAGCTTCCTGAGAAGAAAAATTGAAAATTGAAAATATGATTAGGGATTTTGAATCAAGTTTTATGGGGGGAAAAAGCAGTTTTTTTACCAACAACAATGGTGGGCCGAATGCCGCCCATAATGACGCCGCAGTGGGCGGCGGTGATGATCCACCGGTCGTTGAGAATGGAGGCGCCGCAGTTGTGCGTCAGCCGACCCTCGGAGGGCTTGTACGCCTGAAAGGAGGCCATCCAGGGATATCTGCAAATGTTGTGATAGAAACAGTGTAAGTTAAAATGAATCAAATTTTTTATTTTTTGTTTATCACAAATCTTACTCGTGCGGTTCGGCCACCTCTCCGCCCACGATGCGTCCATCCGGGTTGGTGGGCGGGCCTTTGCTGCCGCAGAGCGGGTCGTTGCCGACCTTGGCAGAGGCGGAACAGAAGCAAACTGCCAAAACCGGCAGCCATAGAAAAAACTTCATTTTTGTTTGGTTTTTTGAAAGTTGATGTTGTCTAGAGTTTGAAAATTTAAAAAATGTTAAATTGTGCTAATNCCTTTGGTGCCGCAGAGCGGGTCGTTGCCGACCTTGGCAGAGGCGGAACACAAGCAAACTGCCAAAACCGGCAGCCATAAAAAAAACTTCATTTTTGTTTGGTTTTTTGAAAGTTGATGTTGTCTAGAGTTTGAAAATTTAAAAAATGTTAAATTGTGCTAAGAAATAGTGTAACAAGTGGTAAAAAACTTGTGTCTTTTTATAGTAGTTTTTTATCTTACCTTGGTTTTATTTTATCTATTTTAAAAGGAGTTCAAAAGTTGCCAATATTTTTTATACATATTTTTTACTGTTCAATGTTGAATTAATTTAAATCTAATACGCTTTTTAAAAAATGATTTCTTATAAATGTAGTAAAGTTAATAAAACATTATATTTATCAAGTACTATTAGTTACAATGTAATATTTTTAAGTAATTTATTTGATTAATTGGTATGACATTGGTAGATGACAGTTGAGTGAAAATGAAAATTTGTTTACAAAAACTAGTAACAAAATGTTAAGAACTTCAAGCTGAGCAATTACTTTATTTACACTTAATAGTTTTATGCATTTCCTAAGGAATACGAACAATTTCATTGCCTTTTAGCTGAAAATAGTTTCGTCGGAGCAATTCATTTAAAAAACCTGCTTCAAGGATGTCAGTCAGAATGTCCATCGTTTTTTTGTTTATTGAACCGTCTTTGGCAATGCATGCGTCCGGACTGAGAACACTAACATCACTGCTCTGTGTGTTTGTTCTGCTTGCAACTCCAATGTAAAGAAGATTATTGAACTGATTATCATCGATAATGCCTTTGTATCTAAGCATTGAAACGCCAAACCCGTACAATATGGGCAGAATCTCAAGATCGACCAGCCACTCTTTCCAACTTTGTTTGATTGCTTCATAATTAAAAGTGTACTCGCCATAATAAAAATCGACCATCTCGATGCCGTTTAATTTGTATTTTCGCATTGCAATGGTAATGAACGATTTGAAAACTTTGGTGGGTTTTTTACTTCCAGTCAGAGTTTGTTCAGTGTCCAACACTTGATGAAAAATGTGAAAATTTGAATTAGGCGCACTAGCAATCAGTCCACTTAAGTTATTTTTAGCAATTTTTATTATTCGTTTTGCATCAGGTTGGCTTTTATTACTGAAAATAATTTCTAACGTTTCAATCATTGATTTTTCTGTCATTTGTGATCCTTCGTGAAACTCAAAAATAGTGTGTTTTAAGATTGATTTGTAATTGTCAATGTGGCTAAGAAGCTCTAAAGCGTTTTTAGAAATTCCTTTCATTTTTAAACTGTAAACTAAAAAATTTAAAAATGAGTTTTTAAACTGTTAAAATTTTTGTTGTTGTTTTACAAACCTTCTGCTTTGACGTGGCGTTTTAGTGAGATTAAAACAAAAATAATGTACAGTAAAACAACAACAATTTTATAATTGCACAAAAGTAGTTTTGCCATTTTTTCAAAAAAAAATATTAAATGAAAATTTATTTTGGTAAATAAAATAAGTTTGTCGACATTAAAATGGAAATCAATTAAATGGTTTTAACACTACTAAAAAACTTTTTATTACTAAATTGCAATAGAAGATACTTGTTTTCAGTTTAAAAATATGTATTAACAAATATAAAGATAACGTTTTGGTTTCACCAAAAAATATATAAATCAAAAGATTTGCTGACGTATTTCTATGAAAACTGCAAAAATATTTTATATAAAATAAAATGTTTGCTTTTTTTCTGAACAGTAAACTGTTACTGTTTTATTATCACAGTGCAAGTCTTAGTTGTGCTCTAATCAACTGTGGAATGGTTTCTTTAATAGTGTAATCATCATGTGAACATGTCATTTTAGTAAAAATAATTTTATCAATAAAAAATGATTTTTTTGTGATTGCTGTTCTTGCTAACTGCTGCCTGCGTTTATGTACAGCTAAAAAAATTAGTCATAACCAAAAAACAATTATTTTGTACAATTTTTATCAAAATGTCTGTTGCACATCTAAAACAACTTTTAGTCGTTGGTTTATTTTTATCGTTTTTTCAAATCAAATTTGCTTTTTCAGGTATATGAAATATTACAATAACTTTAGTAACACTTGTTTATTATTTTTAGTAGCGTGGTATCGGCTGCTACTTTTTAAATTTTTATTAAAATTCTCTTTTTTTATTGTCAACGCATTTAGATGTGACCACCACACAAAAGATGTCTGTACAAGAGCAACTGGAACACCATCTTTGTCAGCTTCAGACACAAAACATTATAAGCAAAAAAGCTAAAATCACTTTCATGAATGCTTCTAACGTAAAGATTATTGCGTTTACTGAAACTCTGCAAGATTACCTAAAAGACAGTAATGATAAAAATTTTCGTCAACAACTAACGGAATTTATAGATCAAGTAGAACGAACGCCCGTTGACCAAAATAAAATCAACTTTTTTGACTACCAAATGGCTGATTTTACGGATGCAAATGATCAAACTGAAATGAATCAAGCAAACGCCTTTACATTCAAAAGTTTTCACGTGGCTGTACAAAAAAAACTGTTTTTACCTGAGACGGAGGAAGAACATGTAATTGACGCTGTGGAAAATAAAAATTCAAACGAAGTTCCCATATTAATAGTCAGCTATTCTATTGCAACTGCCGACTACAACCACAAAAAACAAATGGAAGTGGTGGGGGCGGAAAAATACAGCAATGTTACAAATTCTTTATTAGACGTCTTATCTACTTCTAAATCTTTGTTTTTGGTTTGTGGAACAATTCTAATTTGCGCTGTCACTAGATTGTATTTTTCAATAATGTCTAAATTTAAAAAATCGGAAAAAGAAGAACCTAAACAAGAATCAGAAACGATTGATCAGTCTAAAATTGAAGCAAAAACTGCTCAAACTCAACAAACTGTGTCATTTAGCTCAGAGATTACTAGCGGTTTTGGGGAGAACTTAGAAAATCATAATGAAATTAATGAAATTGTTGAAAATACAACAAATTTATCGGAAGCAGTGATAAGTTTCAGCCTACAAACACAACATCCAATTACCAACAATTTAAATTCAAAAACACCTGTAACTAATAATCACTTGTCAGCATCATCGCCATTACCGCCACTTTTAGAACCACTAGAATCTAATTCCTTAAATCTTACAACTACTACTCAAATATCTAAAACTGGCGTCACAATGCCTACATTAGAAGATCACAAAGTCCAACATATATGTTTGTCTGACCCAAATTCAACTGGATCAGTGCCTGCAGCTTTGAGCATTTCTGCAAAAATGGCAAATAATATTGATAACCAAAATGGCAACCTAATGACAGAAGATGAAGATGAAGAACATGTAACTAATCAATAAAATTATATTATTTTATCAACTTTTTTTTAACACAAAAAATTTGAAGTAATTTGTCATTATTTTTTAAATAAAAACGCATAAAATTATTGAAGTTTTTGTTTTTAAATTAAAATGTTAACTACTACATATAAATTGGCAATAATTGAAAAAGTATTAATGTTAGCCCTGATTTTAATTTTAAATTCTTGCTAAACTTAAGTCTATTTGCAGTACATTTTATTGTAATGAGTTTCATTGCTAAAATAACGTTATTAATTTTTTTCTATTGCAAAAACAGATTTAAATTTACAAAATTGTTTAAGTTAAAAAACTTTACACTTTTTTTATATTATTTTGTGTTTTCGAAAATGCCGGTCTTGGAAAGAATTTATAATAGAACTTTTTCTAGTTCCCACTTTTTTACCACTATTTACAACTGTCTGTTCAACCATTTCCGCAATTTACTTGTTGACTTTGACCCAGTCAAAGATGCCTCCGGAACCTCATACAAGTTTACCAAAAAACAGCTGCTTTCTAAAAATCAACAAAAAAGAAGTGTCAGAGTTTCAACAAACCAAACACAAAAGCTAAAGTTGCAAATAAACTCCGCCTATTTGATACCATTTATGACAATGGTTTTTCTAGATATAGAATCTCACTATATTTGTATTTTGTTTCGAAATACTCACAAAATCTAGAAGTACTCAATGAACTTTTCGCCCATCGAATTTTCCCGCGACGCATGTGGCCCATCTCTGATGTGATGATGGAAATTGGCCTTCTCATGCCTATCTCCATTTACGGCTGTCTGCTCTTTGACCCGGGACTTGGAGACAAGTTCAAGATGTACCTTTTTTTAGACGCAAAAACCGGAAACGCTGAACTGGTTCAAAATGNTGATGGAAATTGGCCTTCTCATGCCTATCTCCATTTACGGCTGTCTGCTCCTTGACCCGGGACTTGGAGATAAGTTCAAGATGTACCTTTTTGTAGACGCAAAAACCGGAAACGCTGAACTGGTTCAAAATAGTCGTTTGTTGGGTGCTGCTGAAGCAACCTCTATCTACCAGTACCGAAAATGGATGCGAAAGTTTATCAAGATGACTATACTAAGCCTTTTCTTTATAATTACGCTCTTTTTTAGTGGTCACTTTGCGTTGTCATGGAATGCAAAGACTGGTTTGTTTCAAATTGTCATAAAACTTTTTGAGTTTATTACTTTCTGCCTATACTTTCCCGTCACTAATGTGTACATTATCTTTTACTTTCTGCTCAGCGTACGGTATATCCGTTTAAAGCAGAAAGCACTTGAAATGCGGATTCTCCGTTTTGAAATTGTTGTTAAGCAAAACAGCAAAAAGTTAAAAAATCAAGTTAATCTTCAAACACGATTTTTGGCTACTTTCAAAAGTCTGAATCTTGAGGCAGCTCAACTGTACGAGAAAATAGAAAAAGGACATGCCCGTTTCTGGAACAAATATCTCACTATTTTCTTTGCCATCTACGTGTTAGAGATTTGCTTTTTTAGCCACGCTCTTCTCTTTGCCACTCACTCTGACGCTTTTGTTGACCGGTTTTTCCTAGCCTTCTT